CCCTCATTGTTTCCATGTATTTCTTTACATGGATTGTACATTTCTGTGTGCTTCGTGTCACGCCGTTCTCCGAGCGCTCGTTTGCTTCCAGAAATCTGACTATCACGGGTCAAACCAGTAGCTGCTGAGATAACAACGATTAGCACCAAATTTACGAGGCCTAGCAGCATATAAATTCCCCTCCAACCGAACCAGAAATATAATTAAAGAGCAACTAAACCACCAAACCACAGAATCTTGTCTAAATCTTGACGTTTTAGTGCAAAGTATTTAAAATTCTACATATTTTGCTATAAATATGCATATGCAAACGTAGTTATTGCAATTGAATTTCGATTTTGGCTGCTCTGAAGGCATGTGACGTATATGGTGGCAGCTTCCTTCCCCTATTAACCTCCCCTCCTCCTATGTAGTGGTAGTCTGACACACTATCACGGACACCAGAGAGCCTCTTTGAGCCCCTAGCTTAGTTACACAAAGGTACCACACAGAAACTTTTACCAACGGCCATAAATGTGCTTCAAGTGACTGTAAATACTACTTAGTGTTTGCAGCACGGACACGGAGAGTCTTGGATTTTGACACATTGTCACACATCTGACACAAAAGGTCTTCTGTTGCTAGGAATAAAATTCTCTGAGGCATTTGTTCTCAACTATTTGAAATGTTTATCTATCTGATGTCGGAGTTTTATTTTGACAGAAAAACGTCCTTTAAGTGCCTGCTGAGTAAAAGCAGGCATTGTTTGTGTGTAAACACCGTTATGCAGTTAACTTTATTCATATTCGTAAAAATCGGGATGTTCATACATGTTGTGCTTCTGATTGCAGGGATGAAAATACATGTACGTGTATAGATATGTATACACACGTGTAAAAAAGACGGGTCCTACGGTGAGACAGAACACTGGCTTTAAGGTAACAAACATATTTAAAGTTGCTCAAGTGAACTGCAGCAGGCAAACAATACAGGACACGTATATACAATCTCACTGGAGCTCAAGGTCAGACTTTTTAAAAGATGAAACGCTTTCAGTTATGCACTTGTTGAATTTAATTGTCAACAGATCACCACAATGCCAACGCTAAGCACATGAGATGAAAGTAAAGGTTTTAAAAGACAAGAGTCTTGTCATTTTAAAGTGACGCTTATTGCTTCTACGACTGACTCACTGCAAACTCAAGTGTATGAACGCACTCCCACTCTCCTGACCCCGCGCAAATGGGATTTGACTGATATATATATGATAAAAATGTCCTGGAATAACAAGTTACTTAGCAACAACCAGCATGATCATTGCAGAGAGTGAACATGAGAAAACAGAGGGAGGGAGTGAGAGAAGATCATAATGATAAAATAGTATTTTTGTTGTGTTTTTTTACACAGTGATTCCTACGTTGTGTCTGCTGTAGGTCGTAGTGCCTAGAAATGAAAGAATCCCTAACAGTTTCAGATATATAACACAAAAATCTGTCTTATCAGCTTGTATGAAGGTAAAATTTATACCCCAACAACCATCATTTGGACATCAGGCCCACAGTAAACTACATCTCCATGCTTGCATTTCTTATAAAAGCCTGAAATGAATCAACCCTCAAGCCCCTGCAGCTTCTCATCACATATTTGAGTTTTAAAACATTTATGATTTTAATTTGAAAACCACAGAAAGAGACAGTACTGTCGGTGCAGGTGTTCATTATCAAGAACTAATGGACGCCGGGGTCCATTAATTCCTGATAAAGGACACCTCGAAGGGCATTATCCTGCTAATACCTTGGTCATTTCCAACACCATTAATTTATATTTTCATGCATTTTACAATCAAAATCCAAAGTTTTCCACTATAACCACCCGGTAACAACTGAGGGTTTGACTAATACCTGCAACAATACCATCCCATAAATATCGTTCACTGCTCCAGTAATTAAGACAAACCTTAGATGCGACTTCGCAACAGGAGATATTTTTAGTTCCCTCTGCTCAGAGAGCCCCAGAGAGCCAGAGAGCTAACGTTGTGAAGTCAATAAATGGATGAGCTGGTTGAAAATCCTTTAAATCAGTTTTTAAGTCTGCTTTAGCGATGTTTAGATCACCTTTGAGGGTATGTGACTGACATGCTGTAAAGCTAATTTGGCACCTGTTCTGTTCAACCGTATGAATTGAGGGTCTCCACAGCTGCTCTGTAGGACTTCAGTCTGCAGCGTTCACATACAGGGAATTAGCTCAGGTCACTCTTCGCCCCAGCAGGTCCTGTGGAGGCAGACAACCTGACACATCCTGGACTTTTCTATCCCTTTCAAACCTTTTTCTTTCAGTCTGTTTCTCTTACTTCTTCATTTAATAGACATTTCTCCCTGATAGTAATTATTCCAAGAAGACTGTTTTTATATGTCTTAAAGGACCAGTGTGTGACAATTAGGAGGATCTATTGACAGAAATGGAATATAAGATTCATATATATGTTTTCATTAGCGTATATTAACCTGAAAATAAGAAACGCTGTGTTCTCGTTACCTTAGAATGAGATGTTTTTCTCTACAGAGGGAGCGGGTCCTCTTCTACAGAGTCCGCCATGTTGAACCGCCATCTTACTACTGTAGCCCAGAACAGACAAAGGCGACTTTCGTGGCCACTGTAGTGGATTTATTTCGACCAAACCAGAGTTGTGATTGTCGGAAAGACTAATAAAGACGTTGAATGAATAAAGCTGTTAAGATGACCTGCAAGGTTACACTTTTTGTCTATGGAGTCTGGTTGCGAGTTGTCGTAATATTACGGTTTCTGGTTAAACAAATAATAAACAATAATTTTTATGACTCCTACATTGTCAGTAATTGTCGCTTGTGACAACAGTAGCTGCTGTTACACACTCGCTTTAAGTGTAAACAGCCCTGAGAAAATGATTCAGCTTGAGTGGAGAGTCTTCCTCTGATAACCTAATTAATTTTTCACCCTGACAATACTGTTTTTGTTCTGTATCCATATTGAAAGCTAATATCAGCTCTACTGTATATCAGCAATATCAGGGAAAGGCTCAAATTCCCACACGTGATGCATATAAAACTGAAAATCTTTATCCTTTCATTAGCATCAGCTGCTTTGTGGTGGGTACATTCTCATATACAGCTACTGTATCTCAAGAGGCTTATTTATGAAGCAGGCAGCACATGTTGGTGGATTACTGAGCTGTGATTTATGGCACAATTAAAACCACCACTCAGGCTAAATAATGCAAATGAAAGGCAACAAAGCATCCCTGTTCATTTCTAAAGTATGCATTGCTGCTGTCATGTGAAAACCTCAAGTCTTTTTGGTGATTTTTGATGGGGTCAGATTGGGAAATTTTCTTCCAAAGGCAGCGAATGAAAAGGAAAAAGACACAGTGGTCAAGCTACAGAAATGGTTGCTGAAAAAACCCTCTTTTCATCACCCACAGTATGAGAAACACTGAGTCCCGTGTACCTGTGGAGGTGCTTGGAAAAGAGACATGTCCTTTAAAAGTGTAATACAGCGTTTTCTTTGCATAATTTATGAAAACTGGCAGATTATTCCCACCCTGCTGCTGTGGGGCTACAGCAGCACAGGATCGTACGGGATTATACTTTGGCTGCTCCTCTCCCTGTCTGAGGGATCTGCTCGCAGCTAAGAACCGCTTTGCATAAACTGCTAGCGATAATGAAGCTCTTTAAAGTTGGAGCCTTTATTCCGCTTGCTGCTGTCACCGTGTCTGTGCTTTGTGTTTTGCTGTGTATATCAGCCGTGAAACATGAAGAGGTCACAAGATACACTGCAACTGTCAATATGAAGGAAATATAGAGCACCCGCTTTGACAGGGTGGCTTTAGTTTGGTCAAATAAGGACATAAGTTGTGCTTTTCATTCCTTTGTCTTAATTATGTTTAAGTTCTCTCATTTTGGAAAACAAATAAAAATGAGATCAAATATATTGCTGTGGAATTTATTATTTGTATTTGTTATAATCATTTTCCCTCATAGTGGAGTTAAAGGACAAGGTTGATAATATTTTGTATTTTTCTTATTGAAAACCCAAATACTCACTAGAGCACCAAATGTGGATTTATCCAAAGCTGCAAATAGTCCAAAACAAATGTACCAAGGGTGTGCACAAGGCCGGACTAAAGTACAATCCATTTGTCCTCTTTGGCTGAGCTGGAGGGGAAAAAAATATTATTTCTTTGCTGTGTGGCTGCATAACTATAAATGAAATCATCACATTATAGTTATATTATCATATTATTATTGTTTTGGTGAGTTTCATTTTGTTTCTGTGCAGTTTGAATGAAGTCACGCTGATGCCATGTTTGAGGTCAAACTTTCAATAATAATGATTTTACATCTTTTTCTGGTTATACAAAAGGCCAATCTCTGTAGAGATCCTTTCCATAATCTACGTAATGTGAACTGTAAATTCAGGTTTATCTGCAAGGTAAAATTACTGGGTTTTGTCAATGGACTATGGTGGGCCATAACACCCATTGATTTTGGCCTGAGATGTTCTCTAGGGCAACATGCAACACCATTTCTCTTGTTTTCTGAATTTTTACAAATCAGACAATCGCAGTTGATTAATGAAGAAAATAATCAGCATATTAATCCATAATGAGAAGGAATCAGTTGCAGTCTGAAACAAAATAGCTCACATGAGCTCAACCTTAATCAACTACCACAGTAAAATCCTGCTTTTGTTACATGAGTCGTAATAATCTGGGGATATTTTCATACTTTGAATACTTTAAATAGCTTACATTTTCCTGATTATGCTGATATTCTTTTACTTTGATGTTCAATGCAGGACTTTTACTTCTAACAGATGAATACTTTCATTTAAAGATCTGAACACCTCCACCACCACTGGTCAGTTGACTGAGAGGAGAGCGGCGCAGTGATTCTACAGAGTTTCAGAAAAAAATACTCAAGAACGCAAGAAAGAAAACCACATTTGAGAGAAACAAACCACAACATGAAACAAATCCTTCCTACCTTGGAATCCTTGGCTGGCTGACAGTCAATCTGATGAGAGACGGATGCAGTTTGGTTCATCTTGGCTCTCCAGTTTCACAGAATGCTCCTTTATCTGGTCAAATAAAAACCCTGTACTAGACTCCCAGCAGCTCAATTTTAAAGTTTCCTCTGACTTCCCTCTGGCTGCTTCTCGGCTGCAGGCTGACCAAATCAGAAACTGACGCTAATAACACTGAGAACTGAAGGCTGCAGAGCTGCTGCACTGGAGATTCTCTCCCTCGTCGTTACTGAAGCTTCACAAGAGGCGATACATTTGTCTGTTTTCCCTGCTTTGTTCCCCTCTCTGGCAGTAAATGATCTCAATGCCACATTTAAATGCCATCCCTCCTACCCTCCTCTTACCTCTCTTCTTCAGCAACTATGTGCTGCCTCACATGCTGACAGACAGTTCATAAACCAGGATGTTTGCCAGTGCCTCCCACATACGAAGGACGTTTCTTGATCAGAATGCAAATTTGCTCGAGGCAAAGATATTGCAGGCGTTTGGTATGAGCTTTTTTGCGTCTAAAGCATTCATCTGACGTTGTTATTCACAGCAGTGGTTTTTAATGTTTGGATGAAAGACATTTTGACAGGGTTCACGCTGATGAATGAGTGTTGAGCTCAAACGTTGACCCTATAGAAACCTGCTGCTGTTTGTTCCATGAATAAAAAAAACATTTAAAAAGGGCAGAAGAGGAGACAGACTGCAAGCTTTACAGACAGATATTAGATATACAGGTCACACTTTTTCAGTTATGCACAGTGTTTGAAGAAGTACAATCTTTTCCTTAAAGCAACCACAAGGAACTATCATGTTTTTCGTTTTGGGCCCCCCTGTGGACAAAAGCAGTGTGTTTCCGCCTTGTGTTGTAAAGATCTTTAGGCTAGCATTCGTTTTGGATGTGAGTGAAAAAAAAAAATCATTTTTAAAACTGTTTTTCCTTTTTTTTTAAACAGAGCTGTTTACACAATGCATAGCAATGAAGTAATGTGTCAGGTTATGTGATTAATAACTGTAATATGTTGGTGGCAAAACTAGTACCGTTCATCACCTAGGTTGCACACACGCCTGCAGCTAACAGATTCAGTTGCTTGGTAACACGGCTTAAGCTAAAGTTAATAACATTCTGTAGTTGGGTCTTCATAAGAATAAACAGCAAGAGGTAGCTCGGTAGATTTCATAAATAAAGTAGACGTATTACATTCCTGTCTAGGAGGAAAAGGGTTTTGAATCCTGGTCCTCATAGCGCGGGTAAGCCTCTTTCTTTTCATTTCTGCAGCCACAATGCCAACGTGAGTCTCTATTCTGGATCCCAGCAAAAACAGACCCGTTCATACTCATATCAACATTATACCAACAACATACCGACACCTTTACTTTAAAGTACCACTATTAAAACGACTTATTATGGAGATACCATTTCTGAATATTGTACATCATGTTAGTCATTATCATCATTCATGCGTGCAACTTTGAAATGTATTCATTTTAATTCATTTGCATGTATTTAATTTAACTGAATGGATTGAATATAATCTATTTTATTTACAGAACTGATTTGGATTCATTTAATCTTATTGAGTTAACTGAAATCATCAAATTGATTTAATTTAATGAAGTCTGCCATGATTAACCACCATATTTCTACAGTAGCCCAGCAAGGACAAACCAAACGCTGGGTCGAGTTTTTACATTTGAAAGGGACGGGTGAGGCGAGGGGGTTGTAATCTGCAACTACACTGCTAGATGTCACTAAACTGAATTTTTTTGTCATAAAACTCCTCATGTGAAGGTCATCCATCCGGATTTTAAAAGTTTTATGATGTCTCCGACTGTGTGCGTTACCAGTTAAATCTTTTCCCAGACTTATTATTTGTTACAGTAAACTGTCGTCTCCATTAAAAATGCATGACCATATTCATATTTGATGAGCTGGCTGTTTTCCATGCCATTAATCATATTTATTGTCGAGGATGATTGCTTGCATTGAGCACGCACATCTTTTAACATTATAAACTCTCAGCTGCTCACTTTCTATTGGATTTCCCATTCACTTAAACCCTGTCAAAGGTTATAAAGGAGGAGGTCAGCTTCCAGCTTGTGCTTTTTATCGACACATACAGCTTATTGATTAGATGCTGTTACGGAGTCTTTATATGTAAGATGTGGAAATAACTCTCCACATAAGTTCATTATTGGGAGGTTCTGCGCAGGATTTGATCAATAATAGTTTCCATATAACACGAGGGTGAAAACAAAAGCATTATTCTTGCAAGTGCTTTGAATTTAGAAGAATAACTTTATTGCCAGATTCTCATAAAACACATATAGTACATTTGTATAAGATGGGTATGAAAAACTGTTAAAATTGCCAGTGAGATGAGTTTTTGCAGCCAGGCATACAATTGCAAGCGACTTTGTTTTGGCAGAGACATGATTAAACCTCATGAATAAGAGATTTTGGAAAAACTTAAGAACTCATAAAACACCACTATAACTACTGAAGTGAAGTGTTCATTCATGACCTCCAGAAATAAACTTAAAAACGTATTTTTTCACTTAAACACTCCACTGAAACCACGACACAGTTATTTTAGGATTAGCAGCTCTCAATAACAGTACATATACTGATATACTGTACTGATTTCTCTCATTTAGAAGACTTATACCCAATTATATGTGCTCAGTGTGGACTCTTTGAACCAACATAATGTGCCTTATTTAAATGCCTAGAAATCCAGAAATCCAAATGAGAGATTCTCCTGTTGTAAATGCTTCCTGGCAAGTTAGAAAGTCCAATTAAAGACTAAATGCTCCCAAAAAGTTGGAACCACTGGACCTAAACATCATGATTTTAATCTTTGAAACCTTTCTGATGCCCCTCATAGATGAGATCTGACACAACATGTTAATGTGTAGAGACTTACAACTAGACTTCATATTTCCTCTCAAATAGAAGAATAAAGATAAGAAATGTGAACCAAGAGGCCCCCATGAATCCTTCCTCTCGTTTACTGAAAGACAGATAAATGATTTAATGAGTAGATATTTGGTTGAAATGCTTCCTAAAAAGGCAATAAAATAAATAAATAAAAACTCTGTACACATATTGGATCATTTTTTAAAAGGGCTCTGTGTGTGTTCACAGCACTCAGCTCACATTTATCTTCATATTCCCACCATAAGTTCCACTAATCATAAATAATGCCAGTTTGTGCATTTATCATGAGTTTGTTATTTTTTCTTCACCCCATTACAGAAATTGTTAATTTCATACTGTGGTGATTCTCAGTAAATAATGAAATGCTACTAATCGCAGTGGAACATCTTTAATTAGAGCGACGGTGCGGGAGGCGAGGAAGCCGAGCGTAATCAAGACAAACACTTTCCCCAAAGCAGAGTGGTGTGTGATGAGCCTGCTGGCCAGTGGGGGCTGTTTAAGGCAAGTTAATTTATGGAAAAATTACTTTTGTTTATTATTAGCTAATGTACACAATTTCACAATAAATGCCAAGATGTTTTTTCTTTTTAATTAAAATAATCCAGGAAAATGGGGCCTTCACAAGTCTCTGTATGAAGGGTATGTTTTTCAAAGAAAATAAGGTTTATGGCTTAAATGAAGATAGAAATGACTTGAAAGAAGTTATATTTTTGCAGCTTTACTATAACTAACTATATTTCTAGTCACACACTATGTATAACTAAACTTATGCATTTTGTCAACAGGAAATAATCCAAAATGCTATTTCGGTGGGATTTTAAACACTTTGTTGTTCTTCTTTGAAGTATGAATTTCAAGTGGAAACAAGTTTCTTTAAAGCAGTTATAGCTTTTGCTGTCTGAGCCTGGCAGATATAAAGACGTAAACTTTGAAAGATGATACTGGGTGTGGCAGGCAGTCAGAGAGTCGGATGGACTAATAAAAGAGCACATTAACGCAAACGAGGGAGAGAGTCTTCAGTGCTCTATCTCCTCTTTCCTGAGTTTAATAGTACCTGTGGGTCATCTGCCTGGTTTGAAATGTACTGGTTAAATGGTAGAATATATATAGTGTAATATAACTCCATATACGTATGCATGAGGTAATCTAACTGGATCTATAAACTGAAGGACTTACTCATTAATCCTACTGGCTTGAAGACTATTGTTACTCCTATTTCTTTAAATACATAAATAGATATGACCACTGAGCTCATGTGTAATGTGTTGGGATGGGAAGATACCAGAGGTTAATTGCTTTTTATTTTAATACAGTACTTTTAGCAACATTTATTCATTAAATTCACCACACAAATGTTTAAAAAATGTCTAAAAAAATGTTTTGAATACCCCAAACTGATTTTGCTGTAAAGCATTCAAACTTATCATACAAAAACCTGAAAAAAAAAATTGTGCAGGCGTGTCTGCGTGTGCAAATACACTTGTACCGACGGAGAACATGGTAGTAAGTGTTGCAGCTGTAATTCAGTTTTTATTATACAAATACAGACGTTTCTCAGAGACAGATTTCAGGAGGTATAAATTGGTGTTGGAGTTAAATCAAATAGGTAGAAAAGAGCAGTAAAACAACCCAACACAGATGATATCATGGCATTTTTCACCGAACTCTGATCATATTTGACGTATTTGTTTTTGTCTCAACCAATATCATTATAGTCTGTCCTCAAGTGAACAAGTTAACCTTATCCACTTGACCTGACTACGTCCCTCTGTCCTTCACTTTCTGTCCATCATGACCCCTTTGACGAGTGTCTAAGTAGGGGGTTTCCTGCCTCGTTGCCTCCGGGATCCTGGTTCTCAGGTAACCACCCACGAGGTGGTGGTAGCTGGGGAGGACGGACTGGTTCATCCCTTTCTCCTGTACGTTCAGAGTCAGTAGGGTCTTCATCAACCCAATCTGAACTGCGCCTCCTGGATGCAGGAACTGGTGCTCTCCGGCCTCTGAGGCTAGAACCTCCCAGACTTCCAGGGCCCCTTTCATCCAAAACAGCTACCCCAGGAGAGGTTGAGCGTGGGTGGGCGGAAGCGGCGGGCTGCTCCCCTGCACTTCCAGACTCCTTGATGGTGTTCAACTTCCTCATAGGCACTAGGGAGCGGGATGAGGAGTGCGGTGACGCACCAGAGAACTGGAGACCACTACCACCACCTAACATAACATTTGAGAAATAGTTCCTTTCATTTTTAACCACGTTAATCCAAAAAAAAAGGCAAAAACAGCCTTTTTACGAGTCTCTCTAAAAGACAAAATTTGTACAAACTCACCATGACTTCGCCTTCTGAGGGCAAATGCAGTCTCAAG